TAGCATTTAGCAAGTACATAAAAAATTGTATCTTCTTACCGTAGTATACCGTTCCAAAGCCTCCATTTCCAAGTACTTTCTCATCACTAAAATTGTTGGTGGCTTTTGCAAGTTCAGAGTAGGAGAATATGGGGACCTCAAAGTAGACACCACCCACTTCCAGGTCTGATCTTGAGGAGGGGTCTGAAGAACTATTTCTTGAATTGAAGCTTGTGGAAGCATATTTTTGTTTCTTGCGTCGCCAATTAATAAATACCGACAGAGCCACAATCAGAATAGATCCTCCAACTCCAATACCTAATCAGGAGAAAGAAACGCTATAAGCTTTTTTACGGCAACACTTTTTTAGAGGGAAAACCACAAAATACTAATTAAATGTTTATCATTGAAAGTTGCAGAGAACCTTCAAGAGGTGTATTACCTATTCCTAGGCGTAGCTTCATATTAGATTTTCCATTTCCTAACAGAAAAAGAAATAGTGTTAGTTCAGAAATCCAGTTGGAGAAGAGAAGAGAAGAGTTTGTTTGTTGGAATAGGTATTAGAATCAATGCAGCTGATTAAATCTATGAAATTTGGCAAGTAAAATATTGGAACAGGGAACCAATATGTAAAAATGGAAAGAAAAATATGTAGTAAGCAGGAACCAGTCCTAGCACTTCACCGTAATTTGTGATGTGTATTCTTTGAGTGTAAGATATTGTGGAGTTTGTTCTTCCTGGCACAGAACATTCAAAGTTTCCCTTGCTATCAGCTTGACATTGCCCTCCCCCAAAAAAACAGTGATAACATTCATCCGTTACATTCACTTCCAGATTGAATCGACCCGTGAATAAATTAGAATATTCAACAATTGTTTCAGTCTTATTCACTCGGTAGTTAAACGGTGAACAACGAGGAGGAGAGCTTGGAAAATGACCACTTGGAATGCTGTAGAAGATATAGGAGTGTAGGGAATTCTTGCAAAGAAAACTGAAATTTTTTGGAAGCGCGTAAACGCTGGGGCATTGGAACGCTGATTGATTGTAGGGCACATTAAAGGAGAGAAAAGGAGAGATGGGAAGACTTAAAGTTTTTAAGGATTTGGGGCTACAATTCTTCAACTGCTCTTCAAAATTTTTGTCATAAAGCTGAATCATATTATCCTGAGAGATGGCTGCAACATTAAACCACGGCCCATCCTTCCTCAACTGAATCTTCTGAACGTCTTCAGTGCAGTTATCTACAATCAGCAACCCACACTCCGGATGCGTTCGATTGGAGAAGGGGAATCTAATATCGCCCAAGAAACCACAAGGGAAACTTGGACATCTTTGATTCACTCTCTTTTCTTCTTGAGCCAAGCAAAGAAGCAGAAGTAAAAAAAAAGAGAAAACAAAAAACAAAATGTAAGGGAGACGAACCATCTCCACTCGGTAACAGAAGTAACAACAGGATCAATTATTGCTATTTCTGAAGTCTTTTGCATTCACTTATTTCTCAATATAGAACTTGAGTTTCTGCACTCACTTACTTCTCAATATAGAACTTGAGTTGCCTTATCCATTCAAACACGCCAGTTGACTTGGAAATTACATAGAGAAGACTTAGAGAATCAGAAGGAAACGAGCGCAACTTGGGGTATTCCTGAAGGTTACCCGAAGACAAATGTAAAACCTCTGTATAGTACTCTCAAAAGACTTGACCGATTGACTACTCTGGAAAGACCTTTCTGATGGATTTCAAGTTGTCTTGCCCGCTGCTTGCTTTACGCGTTTAGATAAACGACAGGGAAAAATGAAAGATCTTGGCTTCATGATTAGAAATTGATAAATTAATGGCCATTAAGTGATTCTCCATCTTGTTCATTACAAAACAAATTAGTAACTACACTAAATGGTCCACAAACTTTAGAGAAGTTTTGGTGGTCCTTTTGAAAATTCAAGAGTAAGGTGTGAAAAGGGAAAAGGTGTTGGCCTTGGACTTGAACACAAAGTATCAATCACAATTTGGATGTGAACTCATAAAAGAGGATTAATTCTAAACAGTAACACTGATAAGTAGGCCAAGATTTGAACATTTACAGAAATGAACACTAGTATAACAATTGCAGACCCTCAAAAAAGAACAAGAAGAAACAGCTACAATAACTACGAATTTACAATGTGTTGGAATTAGCGATCACTTCAACAATAAGGGACTCGTCTATAAAGGGCGACGCACATGGGTCCACTGCATGGTAAGTGGACGGGGGAAGGGCAGGGCCTAGGCCCATAAGCTATTTAAGCTTGTACCATGAATAGTTGTTGTAGGATTTCGTTAAGGAATAGAACTTCTACTAGGATTTGTCTTTGTAATAAAAATCATAGTAGTTTTATGTTTCTCTTAATAAACCTAATATATAAACATATTATTCTTTTATATGAATGATATAGCAATTCATAGCAAATACATTTATTGTAACAAAGGAGTTGAGGAAATATTGACCGCAGTACGTAACCCAGACTTGGGTAAACCAGGATAAATCGCATGTGTTCTTTCTCTTTACTATTTTGTTCTCATTCCTATTTTGTTATTTGTGTGTGGTTGGTTTTCTTTTGGTTCCAAATACTCTCTAGATCATTTCACAATGTACATTCCCTCTTGCTTGAAGCTTGGAAAATGATCACTTGGGATATTGTAGTAGATATTGGTGAAGTTTGAATCCTTTTGGTAGAAGAGGAAACGATGAAGAAGAAGAGCTATATAGAAGGCATAGCTAAAGAATTTCAGTTTTAGATAAAACTAAATTTAAAAATTAAATTATGAATTTGAATTTCTCTTAACTACTAAGTGTAGTTATTTAGTTTTATCTCTTTAAAACTATAAAAGGGAGAATGTATTATATATCGATTGAAGAAAATGAATAGATAATGTTTTATTCCTCTTCCAAAGTTACAACATATATAGGAGTGTTGGGAAGAAATTTTTTTGGAAATGTGTAAACTCAGGGGCATTGGAACTAGGGGTGTTCAAAAGCGGTTAACCGCTTTTCTGAACTGAACCAGTTTTTCGGTTCGGGAAAATTTTTAAACCAAAACCGAACCAGTTTGGAGGGAAAATCGGTTTTGAACCAATTTTCCCTTTTTTTTATAAATTTTTTTTTTAATTTTTTCCTAAATTAAATTGTAAATATAAACAATACATATCCAAATAAAAATTAAACATTCATACATATTCATTGACCCCTACTAATAATACATTAAAAATTGATACAAATAAAAGTCTGAAATGAAATTATTTTTTTATTTAATATATAATATATATTTTTATTTTTCTTATATATATATATATATAACCGGTTTCGTTTAACCTTTTTTTAATTTTTCCAGAATCGAAAATCCAGTGTTTTTAATTTTTCGAACCATAACCAAACCATTTTTTCGGTTCGATTTTTGCATTTTTTTCAACACCCCTAATTGGAACTCTGATTGATTATAGAAACTACACTAAATGGTCCACAAACTTTAGAGAAGTTTAGGTGGTCCTTCTGAAAATTCAAGAGTAAGGTGTGAAAAGGGAAAAGGTGTTGGACACAAGTATCAATCACCATTTGGATGTGACTCATAAAAGAGGATTAACTTTCAACATTAACACCGATAACTAGGCCATGATTTGAACATTTACAGGAAGAGTAAACGACTTTTTCCCACCCAAGGTTTGCCTTAATGACACTTTCCCACCCACAAGCCAGATCCGTTAGTAAATTTTGTTCACTACAGTGTATATTCATTGTAAAGACAAAGCCAAGCAAAGTAGAAGCAAAAGAAAAGAGAAAACAAAAAACAGAACGTAAGGGAGACGATCCATTTCCACTTGGTAACAGAAGTAACAACAGGATCAACTATTGCTACTTCCAAGGCTTTGCACTCACTTCTTCCTCCATATATAAAACTTTAGCCATCCAAATACGCCAGTTGACTTGGAAATTGCATAGAGAAGACTCAGAAACCAGAAGGAAACCAGTGCAAGATGGGGTTCGCTCAAGGTTACCAAAAGGCAATGCGAAACTTTTCAACTCCCTTATTGTAATAATAAATGAGTACTACTACAAAAGACTTGACCGATTCACTACTCTGCAAAAACCTTTTTGATGGATCTCAAGTACTCTTGCCACTCGCAACTTGCTTTACACGTTTGGTTTTGGATAAAGGAGACAAAGAAATGAAAAATCTGATCACTTTGATTAGAAAATTCATAACATAATGGACAAAATATGATTACCCATCTTGTTCATTCCAAACAGACAAACTTATGGTCCACAAACTTTGGACAAGTTCGGTGGTCCTTTTGCGAATTCAAGAATAAGGTGTGAAAAAGGAGAATGGGGTTTAACCAACCTTTTGTCGACTACTTCAACATTAATAGGTCATGCAGACGCATTAAGGGGTTCATAAGTGGTTTGGGTTTTTTCTATGTATAACCGTTGAAAAATTTCTTTAAGTTATTAATTCTTTATTAGGTTTGGGCTTAAGAATAGGATCCTTGAAATACTAGGTTTTAGTCTTTCAAATCTAATATATAAACACATTTTTCTCTTGTAATGAGTAATAGCAATCATAGGGTAAATTATTTTATTGTAAACAAGAGGTGAGACAATATTAACTCTGCTGGACGTAGTCTGTTAATTGGGTAAACCAAGGTAAATCGCGCGCATCTCTTCTCTTGTTTTACTGTTTATGATTTGTCTGTTTGTTTGTTACTTTGTTTTCGTATTACTCTCTATTTCGTTCAACCATATCATCAAAGGATTAATCCTCAACTATAATACCGATAAGTAGGCTATGATTGGAACATTTACAAAATATGAACAATAGTATAACAATTGCAGAGCCCACGAAAAGAACATCTCCATTTATTATGAATTTACAATGTACCTTTCCTATTGCTTTAACCTACACATAATGTAGGTAGTAGGTACAAATCTACGAACAGCACCAAAAAAAGGAGCAGATGAGTTTTGTTTAGGGATGTTTTCGCCATCCAACTCAGAAATCCAGCTTCAAGAAAGCAAAAATCTTAGCTACTGACATTAGGTGTGGTGTGAGTACTAACCCATTTTGCAGTGACAGAAATGGGTGAAGATGGCACCCTGATGTGCTTCAACAAAGCAAGATCGTCGCAATCTGGTGGTGATTGTGGCCGCCGCATACTCTCCAACTCATCAATATTATCTTTCTCTTCTATTACATCTTCCAGCTTCCACTCTCCACTTTCAATTCTCTTCAATTCCTCCAAAACCACATCCATGGGGGGTCTCACTTCCTTGTTCTGTTGCAAACATAGAAATGCCAACTCTGCAACCGCAGTTGTCATCCTTTTAACTTCTTCATCTGATTGGTATCCAAGTAATGGATCGACCAGCTCTTCAAATGCGCCTTTTTTAATCCTGTTTACTGCTAAGTTTGCCAGATTAATCTCATGTCTATGCCTATTTAAATCCACAGCAGGCATTGATGAAATGAGCTCAATCAGAACAACTCCAAAGCTATATACATCACTCCTATCAGTTAGTTGATAACACTGATAATACTCAGGATCAACATAGCCAGGAGATCCATGAGGAGCGGTTGAGACATGAGTAACATCAACGGGGAACAATCTGGAAAGCCCGAAATCAGCTACTTTTACACAAAAATTATTGTCCAGAAGGATGTTGTTAGTTTTCACATCCCTGTGTATGATGTCAGATGCATGGAGGTAGGCCAATGCACTAGCTGTTTCTATTGCAATCTTCATTCGAATAGGCCATGTTAATGAACCGGGCTTCACTAGATCACCATGGAGATGATCTCCAACAGTTCCATTGGGAACATATTCATACACAAGAAGCAGACCCTGCTGACAGTGCGGTGAAGTGCAGCCATAAAGGGACACAAGGTTTTTGTGGCGCAAACGTGTGAGGATTTCAACTTCATTCATAAACTGCTCAACTCTTCTGTAATTGTGCTCATATAAACGCTTGATCGCAACTTCTCTTCCATCTCGAATTTTTGCTGAATAAAAATAAATAGGTCATTTAGCAAACTGTCAAGCATCCCAGTTTGTTTTTTTATTTTTTTTTTTTTGTTTTTTTTTTTTAGCAAGTATATATGAAGTGTTTTTCCAATTTCTTACCGTAGTATACCGATCCAAAGCCGCCATCTCCAAGTCCTCTCTCATGACTAAAATTGTTTGTTGCTTTTGCAAGTTCAGCATAGGAGAATATGGGGATCCCAAAATAGGCCCCACCCACTTCCTGCTCTGATCTTGGCGAGGGATCGGAAGAACAATCTCTTGAGTTCGAATATGTGGGAATATATTTTTGTTTCTTGCGATGCCACCAAATAAAAAAGGACAGAGTCATAATCATAACAGATCCTCCAAGTCCAAAACCTAATGAGCAGAAGGAAACGACTATCAACTTTTTTACCATAGAACTTTTCTTTGGTAGAAAACTACAAAATACTAATCGAATACTTATCGTTGTAGGTTCCAGAGAACATTCAAGAGGTATTTTACCTATTCCTAGGCGTAGCTTCAAATCAGATCTTCCGTTTCCTGCAACAGAAGTGACAGACAAAGAAATGGTGTTAGTTCAGACTATAAAAAACTGTGTAATCATATCTGTATCATCCAAGTTCTTGACAAGATTGTGCAAAGGATTCGGTTGAATAATCTCGAGTAGAAAGCTCGAGAAGAGTTTGTTTTGTGAAATGGTATTAAAATCAATGCAGCGTATTTAAATCTATGAAATTTGGCAAGTAAACTATTACAACAAGAAACGAAAACCCATGCCTGTTCTTTCCTTTACAGAACAATCGAACTTTCCCTTATTATCAGTTTGGCATTGCCCTCCAGCCGAAAAACAATCAAAACATTCATTTGTTACATTCACTTCCAGAGCGAATTCACCCACAAACAAATCAGTATATTCAACACTTGTTTGAGTCTTATTCACTTGGAAATTAATAACTGTGCAGTGAGATGGAGAAGGTGGCAAAGTTTTACCAGGGTAACTATGGTAGATATAGGAGTGTTGGGAATTATTGCAGGCAGAACTGAAATGTTTGGGGGGTTTGTAATTGCGGGGGCATTCGTACAGGGATTGATTGTAGGGCACATTAAGAGATAGAAAAGGAGAGATGGGAAGACTCAAATGTTTTAAGGATCTTTTGCGGCTACAATACTTCGCGTGTTCTTCACGAGGACGGTCATAAAGCAGGACCATATTATCCTGAGAGATGCCTGTGATACTGAACCACTGGCCATCCTTCCCCAACCGAATCTTCTGAACATTTTCAGTGCAGTAATCTACAACCAGCAACCCACACTCCGGATGCGTTCGATTGGAGAAGGGGAAGCCAATATTGCCAAGATAACCACAATCAAAAGGAGGACACCTTGGATTAAACCTCTTTTCTTCTTGAGCCAAGCAGAGAATTAGAAGCAAAAGAAAAGAGAAAACAAAAAACAGAATGTAAGAGAGACGAGCCATTCCAGAGTTCTCCCTACTTAGAAACAGAAATGACAACAGGATCAACTGCTGCTACTTCAATGTCTTGGCACTACTTCCCCCAATATAAAGCTTGAGTTGCTTAACCATCCAAGCACGCCAGATGACTTGGTAATTGCGTAGAGAAGCTTAAGAACTATAAAAGACTTGACCCTTTGACTACTCTGTAAAAGCCTTTTTGATGGGTCTCAAGTTGTCTTGCCTGCAACTGGTAACGCGTCTGGATATAGAGAAAGGAGAAATCAATAACTACGATTAGAAAATTCATAATGTGAACATATGGCAAACTTTAGTGATGTTTTGTTTTTTCTTTGATAAGTCAAGAATAGGGTGTGAAAAGAGAAAAAGAGGTTTGACAGAAGTCTCAATCAAAGGACTAAAATCCTCCACTATAACACAGAAAAGTAGGCCATGATTGGAACATTTACAAGATACGAACACTAGTATGACAGGTGCAGAACCAAAAGAAAAAGAAGAAGCTCCATTCACTATGAATTTACAATGTACATTCTCTCTTGCTTTGACCTACACATATTGTATATTATCTACGAACATCGCAAAAATAAGAGCAGATGAGCTCAAAGACAAAAATCCAGCTTCAAGAAAGCTAAAATCTTAGCTACTGACATTAGGTTGGGTGTACTACTAACCCATTTAGCAGTCACAGATATGGGTGAAGATGGCACCCTGATGTGCTTCAACAAAGCAAGATTATCACAACCTGGTGGTGATGGTGGGGGTGGATATTCTTGGGCATATCATATTATTCTCTCTTCTTTTACATCTTCCAATTGCCATTCTCCATTTTCAATTCTCTTCAGTTCCTCAAAATGACATCCATCGGAGGTCTCATTTCCTTGTTCTGTTGCAAACATAGAAATGCCAACTCTGCACTGAAGTTATCATCATTTTAACTTCTTCATCTGATTCGTATCCAAGTATGGATCAACCAGCTCTTCGATTGCGCGTTTTTGAATCCTGTTTACTGCTAAGTTAGCCAAATTAATCTCATGTCTGGTGCTGGTTATACACAGCGGGCATTGATGATATGAGCTCAATAAGGACGACTCCAAAACTATATACATCACTCCTATCAGTTAGCTGGTAAAATTGGTGATACTCGGGGTCAACATAGTGGAGATCCTTGTGGAGCAGTTGAGACATGAGTACATCAGTGGGAAACAATCTGGAGAGCCCGAAATCAGCTACTTTTACACAAAAATTATTGGCAAGAGAAGTTGTTAGTTTCACATCGCGGTGTATGATATCTGAAGCATGGAGGTATGCCAATGCACTAGCTGTTTCTATAGCAATCTTCATACGAATAGGCCATGTTAATGAACCGGGCTTCCCTAGATCACCGTGGAGATGATCTGCAACGGTACCATTAGGAACATATTATACACAAGAAGGAGACCCTGCTGACTGTGCCGTGAAGTGCAGCCATATAGGGATACAAGATTTTTGTGGCGCAAACGCGTGAGGATTTCAACTTCATTCATGAACTGCTCAACCTTCTGTAATTGTGCTTCACTGCAACTTCGCCCATCTCAAAGTTTTGCTGATAGAAAAGAATCAAATAGGCCATTTAGCAACCTGTCAACTATTCCAATCTTTTACCTATTTCATTTAGCAAGAATATCTAAAGTGTTCAAGTTCTTAACGTGTATACCGTTCCAAACCTCCGTCACAAGTTCTTCTCATGACTAAATTGTTAGCGCTTTTGCAAGTTCAGAGTAGGAGAATATGGGGACCCCAAAATAGGCGCCACCCACTTCTGCTCCAATCTCGAGGAGGGATCGGAAGAACTGTCTTTGAATGAAGCTTGTGGGAGTATATTTTTGTTTCTTGCGACACCAAATAACCAGAACAACAAAACTCCAAAACCGATTATAAACAAAAAAAAAAAAAAAAAAAGATGGTAAGTTTTAATTTCGGGCTGTTTGGAGGAAAACTCAAAATACTAATCAAATATTTTCATTGAAGGTTTTAGAGAACTTTGGATTGAAGAAGGTATTACCTAGTCCGAGGACTAGCTTCAATGCAATGCTCCCTTTCCCGAGACAGAAGTTACAAAAAAAGCATTAATGTGTTAATACAATGAAAACTTTATGTGAGCATATTTGTTCATCAAATTTAGACAAGATTTCACAAAGGACAGTCAGAACTTCTATATGAGACTGTTGAGTGAAGCAAGCGGTGTCGTACTGTGCATGACTGAACGCTGACGTTTTAGTATTAGCTCAAGACAATCCTCAGCCATGAATCCATTAGATCTGACGGCTATATCAGTCCATTAAGTCAAAGTATAAAGGCAGCAGATCTGAGAAAGCGCACAGCAACTTATTCTTCTTTTCTCTCGCGTTTTACATTAGATTTCAGGTTCTTATTTTCTACTCTTTCAAATATTGTAATAATGTTTAGATTCTTGAGAATCTTGTTAGCTGAAATTACAGGGTGATTTTTTGGGATAGGCTTTCGTTTTCTGGTTAGCTTATTGTGATTACAGGGAAGTTAGAGTGATTGTTGTAACAATGTAAGAGTTGAGCGATTTGGGTTGTGATGAGTTGTACTTGTAATACTTTGATCCTTATAGTGCAGTGAGTCCCAATTTGCTTGGAGCTCACGTGGATGTAGTTTATTCCATTGGAATAAACAAACTACAGTAAAAATCTTGTGTTCTTGATTGTTCTTGGTAGATTAAGTCTTGTGATTGTGTTGTGAGTGTTGATTGATGGCTTTGAATTATGTTTTAAACGCAACAGAGACTAATATAGTTGTAATCTCAGTAAGGAATCAATCAAACTCCAGAGGGCATTCAAGTAGAAACTAGAGAAGAGTTTATTTGTTGGCATTAATTAGAAGTAGCAACTCATTCAAATCGACTATAAATTGGCAAGTAACCAAACATGGAAAGCAGAACAACTAGTAACCAGGAACCAGCCCTAGTACTTGTTGAGAAGATGATATTATGCTGGAAACTCATGAAGGTGGTCACATTTGGAATGGACTGCAAGTTTGGCAGCAAAATTTGAAGTTTGCTGCTATTTTTGGTTCTACTGTACTCAATGGAACTGAATTTCTTAATTAAAGTAATGTTCATCTTATGTGAATTCACTGTAAATCTGTGATTAGGTGTTTATGTGTAATGTAAGTGTTAGTAGTTATTAGCAAAGTAGGCTGATGATTTTTATTGTAAAACTGCTGCAGAGTAGGTGCAACAGTATTGTAAACCAAGTATATTATTACATTGTTGCTTAATGAATTAGACCATTCACGAATTCAGCTTCAGCGTGTTAACTTCAAGCAGTGTTTTTGGATTCCAGGCGTTTCACTCGTCGTAACAGTGACTATCGACTGTCGGCCTATCATCACAATTGCATCCAACAGATCCCTATTAGAGCACATCCCCATCCACAGTTTCCAAGCTTAAAGCATTTCCGTCGAACTTCTCAATCTCAACCTTTGATCCCACCATCTCTAAATCACAATCTAATAAAATTGCTCTGATACCAATTGAACGAAATAGGGACAATAACAAAACCAATATAACAATAAAACAAATCACAGATAGTAACAAAGAGAAAATAAACACACAATTTACCCTAGTTTATCCAATATGGGCTACGTCCAGTGGATCAATATTATTGCAAGACTTCCTCACCTCTCTCGTTTACAATGAAGAATGTCCTATGATTACTATCACACTCATAACAAAAAAAAAAAATATGTTTATATCTAGGTTTAAAGTGACAAAACTTAGTTTTACAAGGATTTTTATTCCTAGTCCAGACCCAATAAGTAATTAATGACTTAAAGAAATCATACAGCGATTATACATGAAAATACTCAAACCGTCGACTGAGTTTGTGTAACTCATTAATACTGAAATAGTCGGTAACTCCAACATAGAGATGCTTGAAACAATAAACCATGGCCCTTACCTAGCTGAATCTTTGAAATGTATTGTCACAGTCGTGTACTATTAAAACACACTCGGGATGCGTGCCATTGGAGAAGGGGAAGCCGATCTTGCCTAGTAAACCACAAGAGAAACGTGGACATTTTGGATCGAGACTCTTTCCTTCTTGAGCTAAGCAAAGAGGTAGAAAATGAAAGATAAAGAACACCACATAGGAGACAGGAGCCACTCCAATGTTCTCCATTGGAGAAAAAAAACTGCAACAGCTACACAAACTCTCAACAAATAATACTGTTAAGAACTCTTTGCTTCACTCCAAGTCTCTTACTGTTTCTTCTCAACATAGAAGTTGAGTTTATTAATTATTTCCCTTCAAAACAAAACACCCCAGTTGACTTGGAAATTGCGAAGAAATGGAAGTTGGGGCATCCACATAAATCACACTCGTACAGTGCATGAAATACCCATTTCCATTGTTCGGCCAAAGGCGAAAGTAAACCTTGTATTAATTAATAATTAGTACTACAAAAGACTTGACCCAAGACTAATTTTATGGCTCTAAGTTGTAAGTTTTTGGTGGCCCTATTACAAAAGTTGAGAAAGAGGTGTGAATTGGGAAATGGGGCTTGACATGTATGAGGAAAAGCTAAACATGGCGGGGTCGGAGAGAAAGACGACAAAGATGTGGACTATAAAACTTGTGATTGGCCGTTAATTAAACAAGACCCACTAGAATAATCCAACTAAAAAGTAAGAGAACAGTTATTGTGTTTTGGCATGTTATTAAACTAATCCACTAGAATAACACTATAAGCTTTTTTACCACAAAACTTTTCTTTCGAGTAAAACTACGATATACTAATCAAATACTTATCGTTGTAGGTTACAAGGAAAGTTCAAGAGGTATCTTACCTATTCCTAGGCGTACCTTCAAATCAAATTTTCCATATCCTGCAACAGAAGTTACAGACTATAAAAATGGTGTTAGTTCAGACTATAAAAAACTGTGTAATCATACCTGTATCATCCAAATTCTTGACAAGATTGTGCAGAGGATTCGGTTGAATAATTTCGAGTAGAAACCTCGAGAAGAGTTTGTTTTGTGGAATGGTATTAAATTCAATGCAGCGTATTTAAATCTATGAAATTTGGCAAGGAAACTATTACAACAAGAAACGAAAACCCATGCCTGTTCTGATTCCTGTTCTTTCCTTAACAGAACAATTAAACTTTCCCTCATTATCAGTTTGACATTGCCCTCCAGCCGAAAAACAATCAAAACATTCATTTGTTACATTCACTTCCAGAGAGAATTCACCCATAAACAAATCAGAATATTCAACACTTGTTTGAGTCTTACTCACTTGGAAGTTAACAGGTGTGCACTGAGACGAGCAATTCCAGAGTTCTCTCTACTTAGAAACAGAAATGACAACGTCTTGGCACTCATTCCTTCCCAATATAAAACTTCAAAAGTTGGAAATTGCGTAGAGAAGACTTGAAGAACTACAAAAGACTTGACCCTTTTGACTACTCTGCAAAAGCCTTTTTGATGGATCTCAAGTTGTCTTGCCCGCAACTTGGTTAACGCGTTTGGATACAGAGAATGGAGAAATCTAGTCACTACGATTAGAAAATTCATAATGTGAACATATGGCAAACTTTAGAGATGTTTTTGTTTTTTCTTTTGATAAGTAAAGAATAGGGTGTGAAAAGAGAAAAAGGGGTTTGACTGAAGTCTCAATCAAAGGACTAAAATCCTCCACTATAACACAGAAAAGTAGGTCATGATTGGAACATTTACAAGATACGAACACTAGTATAACAGTTGCAGAACAAAAAAGAAAAAGAAGAAGCTCCATTCACTATGAATTTACAATGTACATTCTCTCTTGCTTTGCTTTGACCTACACATATTGTATATTTACTTCTATGAACATCACAAAAATAAGAACAGATGAGCTCAAAGACAAAAATCCAGCTTCAAGAGAGCTAAAATCTTAGCTACTGACATTAGGTGTGGTGTTACTACTAACCCATTTAGCAGTCACAGATATGGGTGAAGATGGCACCCTGATGTGCTTCAACAAAGCAAGATTATCACAATCTGGAGGTGATGGTGGTACGTGGATATTCTTGGGCATATCATTATTATCTCTCTCTTCTTTTACATCTTCCAATTGCCATTCTCCATTTTCAATTCTCTTCAGTTCCTCCAAAATGACATCCATCGGAGGTCTCATTTCCTTGTTCTGTTGCAAACATAGAAATGCCAACTCTGCAACTGAAGTTATCATAATTTTAACTTCTTCATCTGATTCATATCCAAGTAATGGATCAACCAGCTCTTCGATTGCGCGTTTTTGAATCCTGTTTACTGCTAAGTTAGCCAAATTAATCTCATGTCTGTGCCTGTTTATATCCACAGCAGGCATTGATGATATGAGCTCAATAAGGACGACTCCAAAACTATATACATCACTCCTATCAGTTAGCTGGTAACATTGGTGATACTCAGGGTCAACATAGCCTGGAGATCCTTGTGGAGCAGTTGAGACATGAGTAACATCAGTGGGAAACAATCTGGAAAGCCCAAAATCAGCGACTTTTACACAAAAATTGCTGTCAAGAAGAATGTTGTTAGTTTTCACATCGCGGTGTATGATATCTGAAGCATGGAGGTATGCCAATGCACTAGCTGTTTCTATAGCAATCTTCATACGAATAGGCCATGTTAATGAACCGGGCTTCACTAGATCACCGTGGAGATGATCTGCAACGGTACCATTAGGAACATATTCATACACAAGAAGGAGACCCTGCTGACTGTGCCGTGAAGTGCAGCCATATAGGGATACAAGATTTTTGTGCCGCAAACGCGTGAGGATTTCAACTTCATTCATGAACTGCTCAACCCTTCTGTAATTGTGCTCATATAAGCGCTTTACTGCAACTTCCCGCCCATCTCGAAGTTTTGCTGATAGAAAAGAATCAAACAGGCCATTTAGCAACCTGTAAACTGTCCCAATCTTTTTCCGACTTTTATCTAGCAAGTATATCTAAAGTGTTTCAAGTTCTTACCGTAGTATACCGTTCCAAAGCCTCCGTCTCCAAGTTCTTTCTCATGACTAAAATTGTTAGTCGCTTTTGCAAGTTCAGAGTAGGAGAAAATGGGGATCCCAAAATAGGCGCCACCCACTTCCAGCTCTGATCTCGAGGAGGGATTGGAAGAACTGTCTCTTGAATTGAAGCTTGTGGGAGTATATTTTTGTTTCTTGCGACGCCAAATAATAGAAGCTAGAACAACAATCAGAATAGACCCTCCTCCGAGACCTAATGATAAAAAAATGTTTACTCTTTTGTTAGCAGACTGTTTTGGAGAAAAACCACAAAATACGAATCAAATATATTTCATGGAACGTTACAGAGAAGCATGTGGAGCATAGAACTTTGGTCGAAGAGGTGTATTACCTAGTCCGAGGCCTAGCTTCAATGCCAAATTTTTATTTCCTGCGACAGAAGTTACAAAAAAAGGAATAGTGTTAGTTCAGACAATGAAAATTATATGTGAGCGTATCTGTTTCATCAAAATTTTAGACAAGACTGTGCAAAGGACAGTTAGAACTGTCCATATGAGACTAATATAGCTTTGATCCAGGTAAGGAATCAATCAAAATCCAGTATAGTAATTCAAATAGAAAGCTAGAGAAGAGTTCTTTTTTTGGCATGGTAGTAAAATTAATGCAGCTCATTCAGCTCTACTGTAAATTGGCAAATAACCAAACATGGAAAGCGGCACAGGTAGTAACTAGGAACCGGCCCTTGTACTTCACCGTAATTTATGATACCTCTTCTTTCTGTAACTGAACAATTAAAATTTCCCATTCTATCGGTTTGACATTTGCCTCCCACAAAAGAACAATCAAAACATTCATCCGTCACATTCACTTCCAGCGAGAAAAAACCCGGAAATAAATCCGAATATTTAACACTTGTTTGAGTCTTATTCACTCGGAAGTTAATAGGTGAACACTGATGTGGAGAACCTTGAAAATTATGGACTGGGTTTGTGTAGACGATATAAGAGTGTTTGGAGTTACGGCAGCCAGAAGTAGTGAAATTGTTTGGGATCCTGTAATTGTAGGGGCATTCGTACAGGGATTGATTGTAGGCCACATTAAAAGAGAGAAAAGGAGAGATGGGAAGTGTCAAATTTTTCAAGGATCTGCGGCCACAGTTGATCTTGAGGTTTTCGGAAAGATATGGGTCCAGAATTTGAATCATATTATCCTGAGAGATTGCTGAAATATTAAACCAATGCCCCTCCTTCCCAAGCTGAATCATTGGAACTCGTTCGGTGCAGTTATCTACAATGACCAACCCACACTCAGGATGTGATCGATTGGTGAAGGGGAACCTAATATAGCCCAGGAAACCACACCTGAAACTTGGACATCTTGGATTCACTCTCTTCTCTTCTTCAGCCAAGCAAAGAAAAAGTAAAGAAAGAAGAAAGAAAATTATGCAACAAAAACGAATCATTGCAAAATTCTCTACTTTGCTAACAGAAGAAACAACAGGATCAACTATTTCTACTTCCAAGTCTTTTGCACTCAATTCTTTATCAACATAGAAGATGAGTTGCCTGTCCTTCCAAACACGCCAGTTGACTTGGAAATTGCGTATGGAAGATTTGAGAAACAAATGAAACAAGTGCAATTAAGGTCAGACAAAGACTACTGATGTAAGACTTTTTATCACTGAGTAAACTACAAAAACCCTGACGGATAGACTACTGTACCAAAACCTTTTTTATGGATTTCAAGTTGGATTTACCCACGTTTGGATAAGGACCCAGAGAAATGAAAAATCTTGGCTCCATGATTCTCGTGAGATTAGAAAATTTATGATAGCCTGAATATCCATTAGCAAACAAAATTGAAGTTTTACTGAATAGTTCACAAAATTTGGAGAAATTTTAGGACGTCGTATAACGAAAGCATAGAAAATGGAGTGAAAAGAGAAAAGGGGTTGGATATGTATAAGAAATGTCAGGGAGGACTAAAATGTGAACTTTCCAAACAATCAGAGAAAAAACAGGACAAATTTTTAAAAGAAGGGGATGTGCGAGTTGGGGCATTGTCGTTTCTTAAATTCTAGAGACGGTGTTGAATTACTGCAAGTTTCCATTGTGACAAAGACTATTAATTGAGGACAAACTTTCTCTTTTGTAAAGTCTTTGCAGCAGAAGCAGGGAAAGGACACAGAAAAAAAAAATGAATGCACAAGAAAATCTAAGATATTTCAGGAATTTTTCTATGGTTACAATTCATACAAAACAGACAAACAGGTTTCTGTAATGGCAAGCAATTCAATCACACCACAGGCCACAAATCAGTAACAGCAATTTTGCCCCAAGATTCATGAAGAACACAGCCATTTTACCTATCAACAATGTAGCAACGGGTAAGATTCAATGTTAAACAATCAAAAAGCCTAGAAGTGCTTAGTGTTCTGCTTTTAGGAGTAGCTACTTGCTCCAGAAGAGTTTCTATAAACAGGTGGAAAACATCTACTCACAACTAGTAGTGATTCTACTCCTATTCACATTCTCATCAACAGAAGTACTATGGGATGCACTGGAAGCACAAGTAACCACAGATTTTATGTAACTGACACGAAACAGATCGTTACAGTTGTGAAGAAAGAGTAGATCAGCGTGGTATGGTCTGAAGTTGAGGGAAGCACAATCAAAGGAGAAATAATTGAAAACTATATGTGACCATATTTGTATCATCCAAATTCTGGACAGGATTGTGAAAAGAACTTTTATGCTCTGACAAACTAAAGTACTATCTCTTAACCCTGGTAAAGAATGGATCAAGATCCACTAGAGTGATCTAAGTAGAAAGCTAGAGAAGAGTTTATGGCAATCTGGTACTGAACTAAATGCAGTTCATAAAAATGCATGAAATTTAGATGGTAATTTAGAACAAGAAACCAATATGTAAAACATGGAAAAGATAACACGTGTCTAACCTGTTACCACTCCTAATACTACTGTAATTTGTGATACCTGTTCTTTCTTCTGAACAATGAAAACTTCCCTTGCTATCACTTTTACATTGCCCTCCTCTCAAATGACAATGAAGACATGTTATTCTTACTTGCACTTTCAAGGCGAAAGGAGTGGTTGTCCGAGTGACATTGATATTCTGGGTCATGAAGCTTAACCGTGTTATCCTGAGAGATGCTTGAAACAAAAAACCATGGCCCATGCTTACCTAGTTGAATCTTCTGAAATGGTTTGTCACAGTCATGTATTATGCATAAACCACACTCGGGATGCGTACCATTGGAGAAGGGGAAGCCGATCTTGCCTAGTAAACCACAAGAGAAACGTGGACATTTTGGATTGACTCTCTTTCCTTCTTGAGCTAAGCAAAGAAGTAGAAAATGAAGGATAACAAAGAACACAACATAGGAGACACGAGCCACTCCAGTGGTCTCCATCGGAGGAAAAAACTGCAACAGCTACACAAACTCTCAACAAATAATACTGTTAAGAACTCTTTGCTTCACTCCAAGTCTCTCACTGTTTCTTCTCAACATAGAAGTTGAGTTTATTAATTACTTCCCTTGAACACAAAACACGCCAGTTGACTTGGAAATTGAGCAGGGAAGACTTGAGAATAACAGCAGGAAGAAATGGAAGTTGGGCCATCCACGTAAATCACACTCGTACAGTGCATGAAAATACCCATTTTCATTGGTCAGTCAAAGACGAAACTAAACCTTGTATTAATTAATAATTAGTACTACAAAAGACTTGACTTGAAGACTAATTTTATGGCTTTAAGCCGTCTTGTTTAGAAAATTCACAACATAATGGCCATAATTCTTCATTACAGAACAAACAAGAAACTTTACTATATGGTCCACAAACTTTACAAAAGTTGAGAAAGAGGTGTGAATTGGGAAAAGGGGTTTGACATGTACGAGGAAAGGCTAAACATGGTGGGGTCGGAAAGAAAGACGACACAGATGTGGACTATAAAACTCCTGATTGGTTGGTAATAATTGAGGATGAACTTGTATGTTTGAAAGTCTTTACAGTTGTCAGTTGAAGTTGGGAAGAAAATATAATGATATTTCAGGAATCTTTCTAGCTTTTGAAGAGGGTCCCTACTATTAACTCAGTCTCTCATGAAACAGAGGATTTATTGGTATCTCAGACTTGAACTTCAAGGCTGAGCACACAATTCATACAAACAGACAAACAGGTTTTTGCAATGTCAAGCAATTCAATCACATCACAGGCCACAAATCAGTAACAGCAATTTTTCCCCAAGATTCAGCTCAGGTTGATGATAAACTAAAAGGAACAAACTAAAGAATCATGAAGAACTCGGGGATTTAGCTATCATGCTATGACAAACTGAACTGCTTTCTCTTAACCTAGGTAAGGAATCAAGCAAAACTCACTAGAATAATCCAAATAAAAAGTAAGAGAACAGTTATTGTGTTTTGGCACGCTATGAAACTAATCCAGCTCATATGAATGTATGAAAATTGGTTAGTGAATTAGAACAATTCGTAAAAAATGGAAAGTAAGACAAATAGTAACCAGGAACCAGCCAAGTACTTTCGCCTGTGATTTGTGATACCTGTTCTTTCTGTCACAGAACAATGAAACTTCCCCTGGCTATCAGTTTCACATTGGCCTCCCGAGAAATGACAGTCATAACATTCTTTTCTTACATTTACTTCCAGGGAGAATTTGAAAGTAGACAAATTGAAAAATTCAACACTGTGTTGTGTCTTATTGACCAGGAAGGGAATACGTGAACATTGGGGTAGAGAATTATTGGGTAATTTAACATTTGCGTAGTGTATGACAAAGGAATGTCCGGATTTACTGCAGTTCCAACCGAAATGCGGGGGGAATCTGTACTTGAGGGGGCATTTGAAAACGGTTTGAACATTGGACATTTCAAAAGAGAGAAAAGGAGAAATGGGAAGACTCAAATTTTTTAAGGATATGGAGCTACGGTTGTCTGGGTGAGATCGAAACTCTGGGTCATGAAGCATAACCGTGGTATCCTCAAAGATCCTTAAAACATCAAACCATGGCACATGCTTCCCTAGTTTAATCTTCTGAACTGGTTTGTCACAGCCATCTACTATGCATAACCCGCACTCCGGGTGGGTTTTATTGGAGAAGGGGAAGCCAAAATCCCCAAGGAAACCACAAGAAAAAGGTGGACATTTTGGATTGAATCTTTTTTCTTCTTGAGTCAAGCAAAGAAGTAAAAGACGAGAGATAACAAAGAACACAACACAAGAGACACGACCCATTCTAAACTTCTCCGTTTGGCGAAAAAACCTGAAACAGCTGCACCAATTTTCAACAAATAAGACTGATAAGAAGTCTTTGCTTCACTCCGTTTATATCATATAACTCTCTTTGCTCTTTCTTCACAGTTCTCTATATAGAGCCAGAGTTGCATATCCTTCTTAACAGAACACGCCAGTTAACGTGGAAATTGCACAGGAAAGACTTGCGAAAAAGCGAAGGAAACAAGTGCAAGTTGGGGCATTCGCGTGAATGACACTCGTACACTAAATGAAAATCCATTTTCATTGGTCGGCCAAAGACTAAGCTAAACCTTTTCAGCTCCCTTTTTGACTTAAAGCGGCCTTCTCTGCCGCTTACTTGACGGATTCAGAGAAAAGTGAAAAAATCTTGGCTCTATGACTCTCGTGAGATTAGAAAATTCACAGAATAATGGCCATAAAATAATTGTCCATTTTTTTCATTACAAAACAGAATAGAAACTTACTAAATGAAGTATTTGATGGACCTATGACAAAAGTTTGGAAAATGGTGTGAAAAGAGAAAAGGGATTTAAGATGTATCAGAAAATTTTGAACAAGCGGTGTTGGAGAAGACTAAAATGTGAACTATGAAATAAGACTATGAATCGAGGGCAAACTGCGTCTTTGAAAAGTCTTTGCAGGTGAGTAGGGATCAGGGCAGAGAAAAAAAGTATGCACAAGAAAATCTAACGATATCTCGGGAGTCTTTCTAGTTTCGATGTTTTGGAAGAGGTTCTCTTCTTTAGCTCTCTCTCATGAAACAGAGGATTTAGTATTATCAAAATTGAACTTCAAGGCTGAGCACACAATTCATACAAAACATACAAAGAGGTTTCTGCAATAGCAAGCAATACAATCACACCACGGAATCCTGTTCAACACAACGTTTTTATCCATCAACAATATAGCAACTGGTAAGAGTCAATGTTAAATGTTCAAGTAACCTAGAAGTTCTTAGTGTTCTGCTTTTATGAGTAGCCACTTACTCTAGAGGAGTTCTATAAACAGGTGGAAAGCATCCATTCACAATTCGTCATACTAATCTTTACTGATATGGTAATTCTATCTCCTTAGAAATTCATAGGGACTAATTTATTATCATCCAATGCAGTTTAGCTCTATCTGTCTAAAATGTTA